TATTGTGAAGATATGGTGTACCCTAGTTCCAAGTCAACACCCAGGGTCAATCCTAAAGCCAAGTAATCCTATAGGGACTCTTCTTGAATTCTCTTATAATGATCTTACCTACTAAATGCTAGAGGTTAAGATCAATATGTGGAATTTCAAGTTGAGTAAAAAGAAGAGTTTTGAATTTCTAATGGTGGGGGTACCCTTTCTAATTTTCTAAGACTAGTCAATAGGAAAGTCCTATGGCTAGACCTAGGCTATTAAAGAAGTTTCTAGACCTCAACCAAAAGTGAGGTCAACAATATACCAGCCCCCGAACCATCCAATTCTTTTCTAGCACTAGCTCCCACTCTTTCTAAAACCTCTCAAAATGAATCAGACGACCCTTTCTGATAAATCTGCATGGGTATCTTTAGCTTCTTGACAAGTTTCTTCTCTCATTTCTTCTTCAACTCACCCATCAGGCGGTGTTACTTCTTCATCTCGAGGGTAGCCAACATTTTTTCGCAATCCACAGAATTGGGCAAAGGATTTGACTTTTTCTCCATAAGAATATCTAGAGAGCTGGGTGATTTTTGGGAAAGACCAATATGCAGTACTGGAGATAGTCCATCAATCCCTATTTATAAGGGTCGTAGGTACAAAAATCCAAGGAGTTCAATTATTTAGTCTTTAGTTACGATAATTGATATTTATTTTTGCTTTAAAAATTATCTTATTCTTATTATAGTTTTCAATTTCAGAAAGTAAGAGAATCGGTGAGCTAGATATGTAGCTAAACATGTGTCAGCATGAATCCTGGGGTAGGAGGACACATGAAGTATCTCCTAGAGAAAAATATGATGCCTCGCATGTCTGCATAAGTATTAGCCAACTGTGTCAAAAGCCTTCAAGGCCCAAAATTTACCAAGCTACATAAGAAAAAAATTTTAATTCCATAATCACTCATGTCAAATGAAACATCAATAATGATCATCATGAAGAAAACGGTCGAACAAAAGTTTAACTCTTCTAACACCCTAACCATACTAATACAACCAAAAGCTCCCTAGAAGCTTTCCTTAATGACATCAATGGCCAATATTCAAATAAGCCGACTAGGCATCCCAATCAAGAGCCTTCTGACTACCCCGAACAAGAGCCAACCAACCACCTTGAATAAGAGCCAATCGAACTCCTTGAACAAAAGTACACTAATGCCGTTTTAGCGACTGATGCAGTGGCTAATGAGCGATAGGCTTAGACATGCAAAAAGACTAGAGTACTTTGTACGACCACCTCTAAAGCAAGGGTAACACATGTTATTTAACCTATTGTCCTCTTATCTTCTATAAATAGAATGACCGTAATATATAATAGGGGGGTTTTCCTTATTTTAGAGGTCCTCCCTTTTTGTAACCCGAATCATCAAGGATATAAAATGAGTCACAGAGCTTGTGAACCCAAGTTCACTCAAGTCACTGTGTGCACTTCACACACACACTCACTTTCTCTTGCCCCCCTTCTCCATTGGTTCGAATGCCCTATTCCTTGGGCATGTCTCTCGGAAGAACACATGAATAATATTAAAAATAAAAATTGTCTGATATATATGTAAATTTCGCTAGTTAAAATGTAAATACCTATGAGCTTTTTGCCAACTGGTTTGATTGATAAATATTTTAAAAGTTGTTTATGAATCATAAATTAAAATCTTACTTTTATCAAACTCTAGCTTGTCTCTCACCCATAAAAAAGGTTGATTGGTATGACAATAAATATTTAGAATAATAAACAATAATAACATTTAGAAATAAAAATTAGAAAAAAATATCAATATATAAAAAATTTTTTGTATTAGTGGTTAGTTTATCATTAGTATTTGATTTTATATGAGATGCATTATCTTTTAAGACAAATTAATCTTGATGCGTGCTAAAAATTTGCGGCGGTAGAATAACAAATTATCGTGTCAGCGTTGTACGAAAGTTCAACACACACACAAATGAAATAAAAAAAAGCGGTGATAACTCCAGAAGTTTTTACGTGGAAAACTCGTAAGGGAAAAATCACAGGGTCTGACCCAATTGCGAAAATTTACTATTGATTAATGATTACAGAAATCCCATGTCCCACAAACGGGAAAGGATAACTATATTTTTCAAGGTACAACGTCAACTAACGGCGTTTGGTTGTTGGTGATCGATGACGGTAGGTGGAGGTTGACGACGGTCAGCGGTGGTCGTCTGAGGTCGGTGGTGATCGTCGGAGGTCGGCGGTGGTCTGCAGCTTCTCCTCAAGACCTCAGACTCTCTCTAGATTTCCCCTCTTCATGAGAGGGATGTTTCTCTATTTATAGTATTCTGGGTGCAATTAATGCAGAAATATGAACCATTTTTATCGGACGGTCTGGAGAGCTTCCCTCGATCATACAGCGTTTAATGGACATTTAAGTGCTTTAATGATGTCAAAATTGAATGATCTTGGCTCGTTGGATTCGTCTTGTCGAGCCGTTCGATTTGAGTATAACATATTTGACAATCGTTTGACTTTCCAAATGTATTCATAAATATTCTAACTGTAGAATATTCTAACTGTTAATGACTTGATCTGAGTTTGATTTGACTTGGATTGGGCTAGTTTTCATATCATTAGGTCCGTCTCATTGAACATGTCAGTTTGACTATAAGTTTGCTGAAATCGGAGCTCTGGATGACTTTTTATCAAAATTTGAATGTTTCTTGCTTAAAATATCATTTCGAGATTCGTGTTGGACGATAAAAATTTGTTAGTGGTGTATCAAATCTATTAGGCAATATAATTAAATTTAAACCATCAATATAACTTAGTCTGTTACACAATCATAAATATAATCATACAATAAAATCATGAGATAAAATTTTTGGAAGAAATTTTATGACTATAGAACTTTACATAAAATCTCTAGAAGAGCACATGAATAATATTATAAATTATTAGATGAAATAGCTAAACAATGAGACATTCTCATATATGTGATTGACAAATATATCTATGAAAATCAAGAGCACTATATGTGAAAATATGGGATACCATATAATCATATCATTTAATGAATATGTATGGTAGAATTAACACCAACCAAAATAAACACATAACCAAACATCCTAGCAATTGTTTTCATAAATTTCTTATAAATTGCAGAAATGAAATACATCACTAACTTTGTCATAATTTCATTAAATACAAAATTTTGTCAAGCAATTAATCATATGTGAATTGATTAATATTAATTAATCAATTAAATTCTAAAATAGACAATAAAATGTTATGACAAAAAAACTTCCTCGAATTTATTGATTTAACTATTTTAGAATTTGTAAAAATGAATTTGCAGAATTTACAAATACTAATGAGTTAAATCCTATCTCTGGTGTGGCAGCTCCACGTCAGAAATATTATGTGTGAATAACGTGCGCGTAAATTGATAATATTTTGATGGTATTCACTACAATACCACTGCAATATCACCAAATTTATATCTTAACATTTCTTTCTAATCCAAAAAAATATATTACCACAATATCAAGGTATCAATCCACACCTTATCTTTCTATCTACTGTCGAGCTAAAAATGTTAATTGCAAACGAACTAGGTATAAATTGGTGGTATTAGGATAATATTGTAATATAATTGAGGTGAATACCGCCCAATACCATGATGCACACATGCAAATAGTTGATACCACATGTAATATTTGCTCACTATCGAGGGAGCGATTATTGTGTGTTCAATTCACACATGTGAAATAACAATATTTTGATTATCAATACTACTAAAATACCATCAAATCCATGTTGGGTAATTTGGAGACCGTTTCCACTGAAATTTAATTTGTTTTCTAATTAAGAATCCCACATACTGCTCATCTATTACACCCACCTATCGCTCACCTTCTACACCCATCTGCCGCTCATCTATCTCCCACCTGTCACTCTCATGGTTTCTATAAATAACCTCTTTTGGCTTAAAAGAGGGCCAAGCCAAGCAAGGCAAAACCAAACAAGTTAAGCCAAACAAGGTCAAGCCAAGCTCTCTTGAGAGCTAAGAGAAAGAGAGGAAGAGAGAGAGAGAGGAAGAGAGAGAAGAAAATTGAGATTTTCTTGTAAACGTCGAGGTGCTCGACGGTGTAATTTCTTCGAAGAAATAAAATTCTCTGCAGCTCCGTGGACGTAGGAAAATTTGCCGAATCACGTAAATCTGTGTGTCCCTCTAGAGTTTTTTCTGCGTGCAATTTTACTCGTTACATTTTTCACTTTATTGCCGTCGTTTTTCACAACAATCCATACTTATTTCACCTTATCTCATCCCTACTCAGGATTTGTTAGGGGCACCGTGAAGCTGCCGTAGAAAAAACTGTTTATTTTTCAAAAAGTTGCAGTGATTATTATAAATTTATTTTATTTTCAAAATATCAAATTGTAATTTTATGGCAATCGCCACACTTTGATAATTTAGGTTAAAAAATATAAATTTTTATCACAAAAATTTTTAAATAAAAGAAAAAAAAAATCCTTCAGAAAAATTTGTTATGTAGATTTGAAAACCATGACAGCAGACTTTCGCCCTCGATAATTTTTCCTCTCCAGGGTTTAGACATTGCGGACGGCTCCCGTGTGACTGGAGAAAGTAAGGGAGACATTGAGCCATGGCCACGACCGACCGAAGGCCGCCGGTGTCACTCGATAGGAAGAAGAAAGAAACGAAGAAGAAGGAGAAGAATATGGAAGAAGATCAGAAGAACAAGATGGGGCAGGAGATTGAGGAGATTTTTAGGGCTAACAAGAAGAAAAGGAAGGAATCCCCTGGAGTTGCAGGGCAAAATTCAAAGAAGACAACTGTAGCAAGTGTAAAAGAAGATAAAAAGGTTAATAAGAAGAAAACGCCGAAGGAAGAGAAAGAGAAGAAGAAGAAGAACGGATTTCTTGTGGATGAGAGTTCCGAGAATAGCTCTAAGCGGAGGAGAACAGCGGAAGGGTTTGCTATCTACTCTGAAGAGGAGCTTGGTATTGGTAATCAAGACGCCGGAAACACACCTTCGTGTCCTTTTGACTGCTCGTGCTGCTTCTGAGGCTTGTTGTAAGTTGCAAGTTTTAGGCAGATGTTTATCTTTTCTCTCTTTCCTCTTGTTAATTTTGATGTTTAATAATGTTTTCTATTTCCAAATTTCTATTAGCATAAATTATATATCGTCATTTTGGCTTCAGAAATTGTTGCTTGTATGGAACAAATTTGTAGAAGTGTTGATTCATGGATGGAATTTTTGTTCTAATTTTACTAAAAATGTTATAAGCAATTAGTCTGTTTCAGGATTGTTCTTTTTATAGATCCTGGTAAGGTTTATAGATCGAAATTTCTCTTTTGTTGCTTGTAAATGATTATGCACTTGACAGATATATAGCTGAATTTGTCATGTTTTAGTATATGAGTCATGTTTTGCTGGTCATTATTTCTTGTTCTTATTTTATGCTGCGTGATTTCTTACTTTTGAGGGTCTTCAAATATTGAATCTGTGAATTTTATAAACAGAAGCTATGAATCAAATCATCTTTAACTTTTTATAGATCCTTTTATTTTTTCCGAGAAGCTCTTTTCCTAGCATCCGTGCTTGATTTTTGGAGAAAGTATTTTCAGCCAAGTGAGCAATGAAGAAGTATGTTTTTTATTGTTATGTGAGGTACTGGTTTGGAATTGAATTTTAGTTTGAGGTTTTACTATTCAGAGTATGGTGTCAAATTTTGTTAGTCGAACTAGTTTCGAAGTTGAAATCTAATGTGCTTGTTGTGGAAATCTTTCACTCATTAAATTTAGAGAGCTGATTGTCCGATGTGCTTCATTTTCTTTCCAAGAATGTAGTGATATGCAAGGCATAGAAATTAAGATTGGGTTAATTATGGGGTAATTTGACATTTGTGGTTTAATTATAATCTAACAATCCAAAATACACACACACAAACACATATTTATGTATGTTTGCATATATATAATTAATGGTAATAAAAGGTTTTATTTTTACCTTCGCATTAATTAAAAAGAAGTTCAGGATGCTTTAAAGAAAATCAAGGGTGCAAAATTAGTAGGATCTGATGATATCCCAATTGAAGGTTGGAAATATTTAGGAGATTTGAGAGTTTCTGGACTAACTAAACTCCTTAATATTATTTTTAAAACTAAAAAGTTGTCTGAGAAGTGGAGGAAGAGTATTTTGGTCCTCATTTTTAAAAATAAAGGAGATGCACAAGAGTATTTAAATTATAGAAGAATTAAATTGATGTGACATACTTTAAAATTATGGGAGAGGGTAATTGAACATAGGTTAAGATGTGAAACAAAAATTTATCATAATCAGTTTGGATTTTTGCCCGGCAGGTCTACTATGAAATTTACATTTATTGAGAGGTTTGATTAATAAGTACAGAGACAGTAAGAGGAATATATATATGATTTTTATTGATTTAAATAAAAAAAAACTTATGATAAATTCCAAGAGAAGTTCTTTGGAGGGTTATAGAGATGAAAAATGTTGATATGACTTATATTCAAGTCATTAAAGATATATATACTAGAGTTATTACTTGTGTTCAAATAGAAGGAGGATTTGTCCAAGTATTTTCCTATTTCAGTTGGATTATAGCTGGGATTGGCTTTTAAAGCCTATATCTTTTTTGCTTTAGTTATGGATGCTTTTGCTTGACATTTATTGGAGGATGTACGTTGGTGTATGCTTTTCGCCGATCATATCTTTCTTGTGGATAAGACTAGAGAAAGAGTTCAGGAAATACTTGAATTATGAAGGTCTACATTGGGGTCTAAAGGCCTTTGTTTGAGTAGATTTAAAATTGAATGCATGGAATGTAATTTTAGTTGTAGTAGCTCTAGTGGTAGAGTGTTAACTATGGGCGATCAAATCATTAAAAGGTGTGACCGTTTTAGATATCTTGAGTCTATTGTTCAAGGTGATAGTGATACAGATGAGGATGTTAATAGTAGAATTTAAGTTGGTAGGTTGAAGTGGAGGAATGCATCGGGCCTTTTGCGTGATAGAAAAGTACCTCTTTGACCTGAAGGAAAATTTAATAAGATGGTGGTGAGATCTGCAATGCTTTAGGCACAAAATGTTGGCCGCCTTTAAAAGAGAAGCATAAAACAAAGTTAAGTGCTGTTGAGATGAAAATGCTTAGACGGATGAGCAGCCTGACAATTAGAGTTAAAATGCAAAATAAATCTATCCATGAAATTGTTGGTGTAGCTCTAGTGACATACAAGATTGGAGAGACTTGTCTTAGATGATTTGGTCACATTAAATGTCAATCATCAAATGATCCAGTTAGCAAAATAGATGTTTTAGATTTGACCTATGTTAAGAATGTAGAGGTAGACTTAAAAAGACTTGGGCATATTGTGTAAAACATAATCTTAATCTATTGGAGTTAAACAAAAATTTGAACTCAATAGGACACAGTGGAGAAAAAGATTCATGTAGCTGACCCCACTTAGTGGGTAAAGGCTGCTTGTTGTTGTATGATATTTTTTAATCACATATTTCTTAAGGAACTTATCTAGTTTAGCTGCCTAATTTTTCATTAACTTTTGTCTTCATTTATTATCATTTTTTATCAGTATATTCAGAATGTCTTGAGTTTTCAGCTGTTTTCTATCGTGATTAAAGATCCATTATCATTTCCTTGACCTCAATTAACTATCCGGGAAATACTTTTTACGATCCTCATGTTTTATTTGTTCTTGTTAAGTGTTGAACTGTTAAAATCATTTGAGTAACTATTTGGACAGTTTTGCATTCTTCCTCTCTTTTGGTTTTTAATACTTTGGTATTAATTTTATTATTAGGTATTAAGTGCTCATCTTCTATCCTCCATTTTACATTTTGAAACCATTGAAGTGTAATTTTTTGCTTTCTTATCTTCACAGAATGTTGTTGTTGTAATGCCTTCCATATCATGATTCCACAATCTATATTTTTTCATAATAGCCACACACCCACTTCATATTATTTTTAAAAAATAAAAATCAGGAATGGATCTAAATACCATAGCAAGCTCATTAATTTTTTTTTAATTTTCCTTGATGTTTTCACTATATTCTTATATGGCATATTTTACCTGATACGTTTCTCCATTTTAATATGTAGCATTACATCTAAGTTGTCCTTTTGATTCTTGATGAAATTGTGATTAAAAGGCCAGTGATTCATATTTCATTTTGATCTATCTTTTGGTCTCTCCGTTGTAAACCTTCTACGGAGATATTAGTGCTTTGATACATGATATAAAAGTATCAGGTTTTGTATTAGCTATGACCAATTTATGGAATTGTAACTATTAATAAGCAATGCCAAGGTTGACATGTGATGCCCTTGCAAGCCATAATTTTTCATCAGTCCAAGTTGCATTCCTTTCTACATTAAACACTTTCATTTATTTCTCTGTATATTTTTTGAAACTTTTTTCGTGTATACTTTGTACCACATTATTGCCTCATTTTTTCCGTTACCTAATTCATCTTCATATTCTGAAATTTTTTTTTTGAACTCTGCAATATATTTTACCCTCTTTAGTGCACCATTCTCTTCACTTATCCCCTGTTAATCTGCACATTCTTGATGGTGCTTCTCCATTTTCACTCAGTTGATGTTTTCATTCACATTGTTACCTGGCATTGGGAGTCATCTGGCATTATTAAACCTGAGTTCAACTATTCTTTGACTTTCTATCAATGCTCTCTTTGTGTTTGGACTTGGTATCTTAATGGACAAATGTATCATTCTCAGGTTTTGGCTGGTATCCTGACAGAAACAGTAAAATTACCAAAATTTGATGGATGCAATCAGTCTTTTCCGCTTGTTACTTTCACATGAATGCTTGTTAATTTTTTTGTAGTAGAATCTAAGGCCTAGGGTCGATGCTACTTTATTAATTTGGACATCCTTATTTGCATTACTTATTGCACTTCTTAGTCCTTTTTATACGACCAGCTATTGGGAAAAATGTTCAATTGCTCCTCCTATAACATTCATCTTTGTTCTTTCTACAATCTAAAGTTATCCTTTGGTACATATCAGTTAGACCATCTTATGATATATTATTATTTATTTTCTTGTTCCATGATTTTTTGTTGATTCATTGAAGCAAAATTTGCTTTCATTTTTCATATTTTTCTTTTTGTTTAATTAATTCTTATTAGTTTTATTAGTTAATAGGGTAATCGATACAAATAGTTTATGTTGGTGCTGCTTTTAAGAATTTCCGTTATGCTTTACTGATATGTTTGGTGTGGTTATACGTTAAGCAAAACCTCTCTACTTGCATAATACTTCAGCGTTGTTCAGTTGGTTCCTATAATGGGCATTAAAGATGATTGCTAAAGTAATTTTTGTTTATTTTTATGCTCAACTCTTTTCAGTACTGCTGGGTTTTTTGAGGGGGAACTTACATGCATATAACAAAATTCTGATGTATTTTTTATCTAAAATCTAGGTCTTTACATATATAAAACTAAAACCTTTAAATCACATTCAAAATTTTACCAATATTATATTTTTTAAAGTGAAGCAGACCTTTTCATCTGTATAAGTTAATGTGATTGGGACAGTAAGATGTTATATAAATACTAAAGTTTAGGTATTAGATATATATAAAAATAAAAATGTTGTGGTATTTATGTGAATCCTTTTTTTTGGGAAATATGTTCAAATTTCAGTATCCTGGAATTGACTAAATAGTATATCTGTCATTTTCCTGACCTTTTATGATGTTGAAGAAAGACTAGAACTAACTTTTTTCTCTTTTCCTAATCCAAAAATTTTTTTTATGAATTTTCAAACTTTGTTTCACGTTGCTTCTATTTTTGAAAGGCCATGTAAGGTGTATCAAAAGGCAGATTCCTTTTTTCGGCCTTCAATGTTGTGTTATTGTGAAATTAGAGACTTACTGAAAAGTTGAGGGAAATTTGGCTTGGGCCTAAATAATACAGCTATATTAAAAAAAATAGAATTTTAAGAAAATTTTACTCTTTTTTTTTCTCATCATGAAATTCATGGTCATGAGGTCCAACAATGTCTT